TTGCCAAGGGCAACAAATCAAAAGAGGCACTGCCGGCAGCACCCATCACGCTCATCAATCAGCGACCTGTGGCCGAGGATGTGCACGTAAGCAGGTTGATTGCTGAGTAATTAAAATATCAGACTGAGCTCCGAGTTCTTTAGCAGGAATACCCCCAGACAAACAGCCTGAAGAAGAACACCAGCACCTTGAGTAGTGTCAGCAGCAGAGCGAGTGTGAAGAGCGAAGTAGCGACCACGCAATCCTCAGCCACCGCATCGGAAGCCAAAACATCGGCAGCAGTTGCCGGCACTGCGACAGCAACGGCAGCAGCGGCCACGGCGGCAGCAGCGGCATCCAATCGCAATTCGAGCGTAACGTAAGTTGAAACAGTTTGTATTGTTTTGAATTACACTCGGACTGACTATCTGACTTTCTGGCTGGCCCAGAGACACGTCGCGTTGAATGCGCTCATTTTCATTGAACTAATTGATTTCAATTTGTATACACACAGCAACGGCAACGGCAAAGTCGATGCAAATCCGTTCGACGAGGAGGAGGAGTGGGACGAGGGCGACAACGTGCTGGTGGACAACGGTGAGCCGGGCGTGCCGGTCAAAGCGCTGTACGATTACGAGGGCGCTGAAAGTGATGAGCTCACATTCAAGCAAGGTGTGTGGAAGCCCTCCATATGATAATCTCGAATGGTCACCGCTCACCGCTCATTTCACCCCTTTGCTTGCACTCTTCGCTCTTTCAGGTGATGTTTTCGAGAAGCTCGAAGATGAAGACGAACAAGGCTGGTGCAAGGGACGCATGAATGGGCGCGTCGGCCTGTATCCGGCCAACTATGTGGAGACCGCGTAAGCCGGCGAGGCGGAATAGTGGAAGTCGTTAAGCAGATATATATACATACAAGCAGATACGTATATGTAGCATTACAGCGAGGTTAGAGACGCATTACGGATTGCGTATACAGTAAATGAGTCGTTGATGAAAATATTACCATACATATGTATTAGAAATTGTTATGAGCAATCGCTCGCACTATGAGTATCCCGATAGTGCGGCATCTGAGAGGCATTGGGCATCTAATCTTCTTACGGGCTATTGATGCACCGTTGGCGATACCGATCAACCAACCAACCAACCTACCAATCAACTCACCAACAGTAGCAATGCGGCCGTTAGCAGGCCGATACGAACATACAGATATGTAACAGATAACTTAGCGAAAAGTCGTCAACAGAACAATAAGTGTAAACGTCAATGTATGAAATGACATTACAAATTAAATGTATTATGTAATTTATGCTATGTATAACAAACTGAAACTGAAATTATGTATTTTTTGCCACGATGCGGCCGCAATTTTACTCCCTCTCTGTGCCGTAAACCTTTTTTGTGGTCAACCGGGGGGCGCAACGTAATCTTTGGCGTATTTAGATATTGTACATGCATAGCATTTGTAATGCGTTTCTTGAACATTTTATTATTTATGAAGTTTTGTGTATACATACGTATTGGATTATGTATACTGTAAATGTACATTTTTAAATGACTTAAATTATTGAAATAAAACTTAAAAACCCGATTTCTTACAGCTTGTTTTGGGTCCAATTTTGATGTGAACTGACGACGTACCAATGTTCGTTTCTTACTTTCCTATATGTGCTAAATTTATTATTGTGAAGTATTATTATTAAATCAATAGGTGAAGAAGGAAAGGCTCTTTCAAATGATGAACTCTCGAGCTTGTGAATGAAATAGACTTCTATTTCAATAACATTTTACTTGAAGTCTGTAGTATGCTTTTGGGGTTGCAAATTAAATAAAATTTATTCATGATGAGAGTTTGCCAACGCTGACATAGTTAAAGGTCAAAGGTCAGCACTTATTGTTAAGGGCGTTTTAATATTACTTCCTTGGTGAGCAAAGGCAGCGAAATTCATTGATAAGAATGCAATTCTTTACCTGCACGATCAATCGTTTCAACCTTAAAGATTCACTGTACATGCCCTAAGCGGAAATGAAAACGTAATGATGCATATGACTCTTTAAGTATTTCGCTTCATTCTATTTACCCTTATTCGTAATTTTAATCTTTCATTTTGCATGCACTTCAATATGCCCGATAGAATTACTACAAATGAAATGCAGATAGTTCTAATTTATTGTGGAACGTTGTTAATATTAATATTTTGAACATTATATTAAAGAAAATATTATTTTTTAAATAGTTGAATTTTCAGTATTTTAAAAACAATTAATCTTATTTAGCATGGTATTATTTTTTTTAACGTGTATGAGTCGTTACTTAGTTTGATCAATGCTTATCCATATTCTGTAAGCCGATAATAATAGAATTATTACAATGCCGTATGCAGTGTGAATCCACCATCATTTATTAGTTTTTGCAACAGCTCATCAATTTACAACAACATTTCAATTACCTAGCAACCCATATTGTCGTGACGATTGTCTCTTTTCGGAAGTTGTCAAGAACTTTGACTACTTTATCCACTCAGAAAAACTAAAAAGCTTCAACCGCAATTACATATACACTCATAGAAATTTTTACCTAAATACTAGAAAAGTCGCCCTAAAACCGCGGTCGCCCTAAAACTACGAAAAATTTTCTTATTATACGGGTGGCTAGCCCTAAATATACGAAAAATCGCCATGGAAAATATTTTTTAGGGTTAGTTTTTCCAAAAAGGCCAATTTGCCCTGTTTTTTAGGGCGAAATTTTATGACGCAATAAATGGATACATACATGTAAAACATGTTATTTACATGTGTGTGTAGTTGACAGGTCACGACAAGTGAGTAAGAATGGGTAGCCCAGCGGTCTAAGCACTCGCACTTTCAGCTTTGCTGTTTGAAAATACAGGTCGTGGGTTCGATTCCTGTGTGAGTCAACACTTTTTTTTTTTTATTAGAGTTTTTATTACTAATTAAGTTTTTTCGTTCGCATGTTAAATTTAAAGTAGTTTTAAAACCCTAAATACATATGGAAATTCTGAGTTTAAGAACTAATTTATGCTAAGCATGCGAAGAAACGGCCCTAAGTATCCCAGCCAGCAAAAAATTCAAGTTTTTGTACGAATAACTTAGACCGCAAGAAAGTAAGATGTGTACAGTGTTTGTACGTTGCTTAGCGCGATGGGACTGTGGTGCAGCGCTAGAGCGTTAGACTCCAACTCGAGAGGCCGTGGGTTCGAACCCTCGTAGAGACCCCAAATGTTTTTCTCAAGTAAGTTGTTTTTTCTCCTTATATATATCTCCTTAATTCGATTACAAAGATGATTTATCAGTTATAACCGGCAGTTATACAAGTCTGCCGCCTCCTGCCCCCAATGGCATCATCCGATATAGCAACAATTCAACAAATAAATTATCTGAAACGATGTTCGTGTGTGTGTGTGTATGTGTTGAGTCCAGTTCCCAGGAAAATATCAACACCCCCCCCCACCGAAAAATTAATAGATTTTTTTTGCTTTTATTTGGTTTTATTTTTATGGCGATTCGCCCTAGATTTGTTGCCTAGTCGCCATTGACCCCCGTTTTAGGGCGATTTTCCCTGTTTTTAGGGCGATTTTACCGGAAAATTTCTATGAGTGTAGTTCTTCTTGCTGAAATTTGTTGTTTTACATTTGTCTAAAACGTTGTTTACTGGTTGTAAAACATACATACTTCCAGATAGCGTAGTCTAGTTCAGAAACTGCATTGTAGATGCATTTATAATTTGCTAAATGCATGCAGATAAACCAACTACAGTGAATAGCCTCTTAATATTTGCAGTTGGGAAATTTACAATTTATTTTGCAAGGGAAACTCAAAAGCTTTTTTATAGTTTTGGTGAAGATCGTGCCTAATTGTGAACAATGTATACTTTTAACCTCGGATGCAGTGACAGCATAACGATTTTGTATTTTTTTTTATTTTTGTAGAAAAGTTTTGCGTTTAAGACCCGCTCTATCGCCTCTTGTAACCCATGCAATTTTATTTATAGACTTTTTGCTTGAAAGATTTGTTGCACTCTTGGTATATGGGCAGCTAATACAGTCGAAGTTCTATAACTGAAACATAAAACTAACATAAAACGTTTGAATGACACCATCTTGATGTTTGAATTTTTGTCCGTGCCTTTTTTTAGTTTACCTATACACAAATGTTTAATTTAGCTTTAAACACTTGACTTTTCCCCAAAAAAGGGGAAATTTGAAGACGGCATCGATGTATTGATATAACATTAATTATCTTCAGCAAGAGTTCCTCGAATCGCTGATTCTCAAGAATTCCTACTAAAGATGGTATCATTAAACCCTACATGACACTCTATTTTGTATGGGGCCGAAAAAATTACAAATCGTGTGGGGGAACGCAATCTTTAAAGAATTCGAAGCCATATTGGCGAGCACACGTATGATATAAAGTTACGTTTCGAACCTCACGTTTTAAAATAATGGGTATTGTTAACTTATGAAACAAGCATTACAACACATAATTATTCTTGGTTCTTTTGTTCCTTTTTGAAGTATAATATTTTATTTTATTAATTTATTAATTTATGTATTTCGGTGTTCTTAAACCTTTTATAGATTAATTACTATTGCCTGGGAAAGTTAACTATTTGTAATAGGAGTGGGTAGTTTTAAGAACTAAATAGTGCAATTGATACATGACACATTATCTTCTCAGACAAATTACAAAAAAATAGCAGCACCTATATAATTGCTTTAATGGGAAGGTAATACTTACGAGTGCTTACTGTGAGTAATAGATAACTGCCAGCTATTGAAAGCTATAGTTTAATATGTTGGTGCAGTCGGGTATAAAATCGCAAACTGAGCGGACATATAGGGTCCGGTTCCTAATAACTGGCGGAAATGGTGTCGATAACGCTAGATCGGGAATAAGGACATTAACTGAACTAAAGTTCATAAAGAAAATTCAAGATTACTATTTTATATATATGTCAGGGAAAAAATTAATTTTGTGTTTGTGTCACTTCTAACATGACGAACATTAAATATGAACTTATTCCTACGGATGAGCTGCCCAGCAAAGAGAAGCCTCCAAAATGGATGGTTAGAATATGCTTTATTTGCGTAGTGCTTCTTGTTCTAGCGATATATACTTTGAGTACCACAGAGAATCAGAACGAGAGCGGCACTGTGGTTTATCCAAATGAATTCCTGAGTCTTCGGGAGCTCTCTTTGGAAACAAGTACGGTCAATACTCGAAGCGTATCATCGAATTTATTGGATACCAGTTCTTTCAGTGCTAAGGAAGGCACATATACCACCGAAAAATCATGGGATATTATTTCTATAACAGAGCCTCAAAGCGAAAATGCGATGTCCACCCAAGAGCAATCGGAGAAAGGCTCAAAAGTCCTGACGGAGGATTTTAGCGAAACTACCACATTATCACAGAGTACTGAAGAATCGACAACAGAAACCTCGTATGCATTAGAAACGAAATCTGGAGTGAAATACTTTGTCAACAGCCCCCAGTGCCAAATGAGTCATCCGAATTCCTTCGCCAGGAACATCCTGCAAATCTACAGGAAGCATCATTATATTGTGTGTGATGAGAGTCCAAACATGATCACAGTGAACTTCAACGAAACGGACAGCACATACAGGCTGCACAAGAACGAGAACAGCACGTGCTGCTTTAAACAGATCCTGCGAGCAGGAGTACGAACTATGGCGGACCACCAGTACAAGTAAGTTCCAGGGTTCCAGCTGTAGAGATGGACACTGAAGATGAATATCCCGGCAGGCTTCTACCGTGTGTGGAATTCCAGCAGGACTTCTTGGTCCCAACTGAAGTGACTGCCATGATCACCTATTGCCGCCGGCCTCCATACGATAAAGTGTCTCAAAAGGATGCCTTTAGTTTTGTGCATCCCCAAAAGGATTTCATCACTGATCGCGATCCAACTTTGGACAAAAGGCCCAGCGTTTTGCTTTGGGGCATTGATTCCATTTCGCGAATGACCCTTGAACTCACGATGCCCAAGATGTATGAGTACTTGAAAGAGGAACGCTGGTTTCAGCTTCAGGGCTACAATAAGGTATATTAAATTCTGAAAATTAAGTGAATTAAACAAAAATCTTCAAAATTATGAAGTAGTTATACACTAAGAAAACTAGAGATCAAACAAATAAAAAAAAATCATTACTTTTTCTTCTCACTTTTTTGAAAAAAAAATGTTCCTAAAGTCAAGGCTAAAAGGCTATTAAAAAACTAGAGAACGAAAAAATCAAGAGAAATCAGTACTTTTTCTTATCACTTTTTTGTGAAATAATGTTCTTGAAATCAAGGCTAAATTGCTTATTACATTTTTTTTTTAAATTAAAATGACACTTATCTTTTTTAAATAAAAACCTTTAAACCTCCTTATTAGATGGGCGACAACACATTTCCCAATCTAATGGCGGTTCTCACGGGATTCAACAAGACCTTCGCCAACGCACAGTGCCAACCCGATAAGGTGGGTGGCCTGGATGCCTGCCCGCTTATTTGGAAGGACTTCAAGGCGAAGGGCTACACAACTGCCTTCGCCGAGGACTGGAGCGTATACTCCACATTCGACTACTCGAGCAGGGGCTTCTTCCATCCGCCGACGGACGTTTACGGCAGACCACTGATCCTGGCCGTGGAGAAGCAGCTGAAGATGACGCTTCAGAGTCAACTGCCCTATTGCTTGGGTCGCAAAGCATCCTCCGAGTACATCTACGACCTGGGAGTCCAGTTCGCCAGGGTCAACCGGAATCGTACCTTTTTCGGCATGTTCTGGACCAACACCTTCAGCCACAACGACTTCTCTATGCCCTCCGCCATGGACGAGAAGATGGTGCAGTATATGCGAACGTTGGAAAAAAACGGTGTAATGGATAACACCATCATCATTTTCTTCAGCGACCATGGATCCAGATTCGGACCATTGAGGAAATTGGACAGTGGTTTCGTAGACGAACGGCTGCCCTTCATCTATATCCATGTGCCTGTTTGGATTCGTGAAAAGTATCCGAAACTAGTGAACAACCTGGAGGTGAACAGGAATCGCCTCACCTCGCCGTATGATATCCATGCTACTTTAAGGCACATCCTGGAGTTGAACACTCCGCCAGAGGAGCTTCCTCGTCCGGATGGCTGTTCCACATGTCACAGCGTCTTTGAGGAGATGGATTGGTCCAGGAATTGCAGTCAGGCGGGGATTGAAGACCACTGGTGCGCCTGTGACAACTTCTCCAAGGTACCCACAACGGATCCCATGGCCAGGAGCATGTCCAATCAGCTGGTGGAGGCCATTAACAATTTTGTGGCTGGCAAAAAGGGAGCTGATAGATGCCGCCGGCTGAAACTAAACGAAATCTCCTCGGTGCAGCAAAGGGGTAACTCAAATCAGTATCTAATCCAACTGAGTGTCCAGCCTGCCAGCGGTCTCTTCGAGGCTACGGTGAAGTGGGATCCCGGAGACCAGAGTATCTCCATCCGGGTGCCCAGCGTCAGTCGTCTGGACTCGTACAACGCAATGTCACGTTGTACTTCCGTTAAGGAGACCAAAAAGTTCTGCATCTGCTGAGTTCTAGATTTGGAAACTCTGGACAACCGCAAGACCGCACAAAAAAGGACTCGTTACTCTAATCGGTCGGATCTCGGGGCCTTTGTTCTCGGAAGCCTATGGAAACGTATCTCTAGGGTTGATCTTCGGGCGGATGGTTAGTTGCTGGCAACTATTTTGGCAAGCGTAATTGCGGCCTACCGATTGTGCGAATGGAAAATTAGTTGACAATTACATGACAATTGGCAGATACTCGGGTAATTGCCTTGTGATTAAAAAGAGATACCGGCACAAATTAACTTTAATCTTTGCAAATATTTCTGTTAGCTGGTCTAAGCTGGAACTTGGGTGATTTAAGATAAATTTGTTGTATATTTTCATCGAATTATCACTGCCAAGTTGTTTTTGCCGTTTTCTCGTCTGTATGCTAAACTAATAGTAGGTTTTAAGCTGAAAAATTAACTTTGTTTTCTAGGATTAAAACTAACTTTTAGTTTAAGGGAGAGAAAAGAAATCGCCCCTTAGACAAATCCTCATTTGAAAAATGATAAATATTAAGAATATCGCATTTAATAATCTTACTAATTTGTATTTTTAATAATATCACACCATCTTATCTTATTTTCCATGATTTATTATTATTCTATAATTAAGGTGAATTAAGTATTCCAAATTTAATATGAGTTAATTGGTTAAGTTCAAATAAGCAACACAATAAAACTGGTTAATACATATATTGTCATTAACAAGCTTTCTGCAAATTAGATAGTACTCTATTATATATTTCCGTATGCTGGCTATCCAGTGGCTATTTTCAATTAACATTGTAATTGATACTTTAAGAACTCAGCGAGGGTTGCCTTAAAACTCGTTTCGCAAAGGCAACTGTTATGAAAACAAATTTACGAATCAATCAAAACATACACGCATCAAAATATATCAGGCTCAACTTGTTTTCCCATCGAAAGGGATGGAATGGAATGGGATCTGATAGGATGGGAGGGTTCGAGGCAAAACATGGCAGCGGATGGGTTCACTTAAGGGAGCGGGAAGGGAACCACCCTGTGTAACGCCAATGATAACCACAACAAATCAAAAAGTATCAAAATTGTGTAAACGCTCAGTTAAGCTAAAAATCATCGAAACTCAAATGTTCTTTCAGTTCAGAAAAAATTCCTATTTTATTATTTTTTTTCTCAAATTTATTACTTTTGAATTAGTGTTGGTAAATTGTAAAATGTATACAAAGTTAAAAAAAATGTGTATTGAATTGCTAAAATGTATTTTGATATTTAAATAAATAATATAAATTCAGACATCAGATTCTTGGAAATATTATATCTTCAGTCCAATGCTGGAAAATTACAAAAATTAATTAATTATAAATTCTTTCAAAATCAGCATTTAACAGAAACTCAATCACAGCGAATATTTGATAGGGACTCAGAGACAATTGAACCCGTCCACTTTATTGCCCTTCGTGGGCCTAATCTTATCCGTTGATAAGGGTAAACTTACACCAGTTTACAAATTAAAATCATAAAAATGAGACGCCTTGGTTTTTCTGTAAAGTTGAGCTGCCTGATTAAGAAAAGGGCAGTTACAATTTTAAGTATGGCGCTAATTTTTTTAAGTGTAAAAAATAATTTTAAGACAATATCCTGACTTCTGATAAGGCGATTTCGGTCATCAAAAGAGTCATAACTTTAACTTTTCTATACACAATATAGAGTTCTTGTTCATTAGCATAGTAGCTAGACCTCAAAGTTTAAAAAAGTTGGTAATATTTAAGACTTGAAGGCTTTTGCAGACTAGTGTAATTGAGCCGAAGGACTTCTACCTGGTCGGAGATGGGAAACGCCTATTAATCGGCTGGCTGCTTCCGAATGAGATTTGTATTGGGCCGGGCCAATCTCATTGTCCTTGCAGAAAGGGATGGCCATATTATCTGCCTGCGATGTAAATGGCGGCGATGGGAGGTCCTTGGATAAATAGCTCGTGGCTGCGCAGCGAACTCAGCAGTAGCACTTTGAACGCAAAAGCGAAAGGATCGCAGCACAAGGATGAGTGACTTCAGCATCGAGTATATTTTGAACCGAGCCGGCGATCGATATGTGGGCACCAATGCCTCTTTGGGAGTCCTCCAGCGGCTGCGTGCCAGCCTGCCCTACCATCCGTATGCCCAGCCGACGTACTCCGCCAAGGAGCCTCGCGGATCTCCTCCAGCTTCGGCTGCGGAGGGTCAGATGCCCGTCTACGACTGGCTGCAGTACACCCGCTATCATCCGCCCAAGTTGCCGCGGGCCCTGCGGCAAAGTGGTCCCGCCAAAAGGACTCCCGGTCGCCTGCCCCGCATCCCCTTCACGCCGCAGCAGCTTCAGGCCCTGGAGAGTGCCTACAAGGAGTCCAACTATCTGAGCGCCGAGGATGCCAACAAACTGGCCGAGTCTCTGGAACTGACCAACACGCGGGTCAAGATCTGGTTCCAGAATCGAAGGGCCCGCGAGCGACGGGAAAAGCGCGAAAAGGACGAGAGCTGCGACTCCACCTTCTCATCGAACGCCTCCAGTCCGGAACCGGAAATGATCGTTGTCGCTTAAGTTAGAGAAAGATCCAACTCATTCTTTGCTCCACCATGGCTGTTACGGTTACTGTGTAACTTCACACGGTTTCACATACCAAATTTAGTGGCTTTCTGTACATAATTATTATAATTAAGTTAGAATAAGTAAATCAATACATTAAAACTTTCTCACAAAATTACTTTTATTGAGTCTGATTTATTTAAAGTTTATTAGGTTAACATTGGGTTTTGTTTGGAACAGCTAACTCTTAGTACTAGCCAAAACCTATTAAATTGTTGTACTATTTATAATATCAATCGATGTTACAAAAAGCTCATCACCTAAATAAATTGTTTAATTTTAAAACTGAAACTTATTTATAAATTATCTTGCGTTTTTATCTTAATTATGGATTTAAAAAGTAGACAAAAATGGAAGAAACTATTTAATTTATATTCTGATTCTGAGGCAATTACAAATTGCATCAGAAACAAAAGTATGATTTATAAATCAACTGCCATTTACAGTTTAAGCACTGGAAATTCATCAAGAAATGTTACCGGCGCAATATTCTCAAGGTCAAACTTAAAAAATTGAATATTTTATCAATTTAGGTACTTTATTGTTTAGTTTGGCTCAAAATGTCGGGCTACTGCCAACTTGGCTACCTTCTTCTTATAAATAGCAAACGAAACACTGCTATAACACTGTCTATACCGGTCTGTTAAATTAATTAAATAATGAGTTTATAAATTATATTTTTTTTTAGATAAAAGTAAACTCATTAAAAATGTAATGCTATTTTTCTTTTTACGAAAGAAAGATATAGAGAAGAGAACATTTATGTTTATAAGTTTAAAATTAAAACAAATAATAGCATAGACAGACAAAATTTCCTTTTTTTGGTTGGCCACGCCTGATAGTTTTATAATAACTTTATTTTAAAAATCAAATTCGTCTCTCAACTTAATAAAATTATTTGTTTTACTATTTTTACATATTTTAATAACATATGTGCTTATATAGTATCATTTTTAACCAATACATCATATCAGTTTCACCTGATTTAAATTGAATGTGGATTGAGTAATTTAATATTTCATTGCGGAAACTTTTCTTTCCCATGGAAAACTGGGATTCGCATAATGGGATCAAAGGCAGCCGACCCCACAGATATGATAATATGTTAGGATGTGTGGCCAAAAATCGAACCCGTATGGGAAAAAACCAAAAAAAGGTGAATGAAAATGAGGAATGAAAATGAGGAAATTCGCGTGCCGGAAAAACAGCAAACGGCGAAAGGAAGACGGAGGGCAGGCTAAGCCGATTTTGCAATTGTTGCCGTTGTTTTTATGGTCAAGAATAATTTGTTTTTCCGCTGTCTTTGTTTGCAAACATGCTAAAATATCAGATTACAAAGCGGCAGTTCCTGCAGAGAGTGGGGGATGCGTTTTCCAAGTCCTGATTCTGCCACAAGGACTGGCAAATGAGTTTACGCAAATCCAGTAGATGGCCGCCCCTGATCCCAAACTAATCCGATCATATGAGTAGAGGGGATAGCTGGAATATTCCGACCCAAGTGGACAACAGGAAGAGAGGATCGCATGTGCCATTTAGTTATCTTAAATGAGCATCGATGGCCACTTTTCATCGTCGAAGGGTTGAGCATAATATCAAATGTCGCATTTGGTATCACAGGATCACTCTATATCGTTCAGATGTACCTACATATATTGTACATGTGTATTAAAACTCTTCAAAGATCTCCTTTCTAATGTCCAGACCCTCGAAGGCTCCTGAACAATCTAAGCCACACTCATTAGACACAGATAATTCGTGCAAATTTGTCAAATCGGCTTATGATTTGCATTCTATGACGGAATGTTTATGTTACTAATCTAGTCCTGTTTGACAAACAATGCGGCAATATTTATTCTAATGGCGTAGAATAACACACAGCCCATGGTCCCAAAAGGGACTTTCTTTCTCTCTGCGGATCAAACAAGGGACAAGCGCAGGCGCATGCGCATGCGCACTTAGGATCCGCAGGAGAAGATCTGCTGGAAGGACCCTTAAAAACTGGGTCAAGACGGGCGGGGGCGGACTAGTGGCGGGCTTAACGTAATTCCCATTTTTGCGTAGATTGAGGTAAGCGGGGTATGCTGGCTTAATAGGGCGTCAGCCAGACTGGCCTTTTGCGATCCTTTGTGTCAAGAGGAGCACAGGACTCAACAATTGCATATTCAATGAAAATAAGCTGGGCTTTATTGGTGTAACATTGCAAGGGACAACTGAAAACAAAAGGTATAACAATGAATCTGTTCCAATTACCAATTTGCATTTAAATGAAAATTCGAAATTCGCTAGAAAAAATTTAACTGACAATCTTTAATAACTTTGGAGAAAGCTGACACAAATAAAGTACAACAATAATAAGATAAGGTATTAAAAAAGTGTAAAAAGATTTTTTAATTTTTGAAAAAATTTATAGTGAAAAAATCTTTAAAAAAAAAAATGAAATTGTTAGTTAAACAGATGCCTAACAGACAATTCTAATTTATAAAATTAAAATATATAGATTTTAAAATGTACCTATATAATTTAAGTTTCTTTCAAAGTAACGTCTTTATTTTTTAAAATTTTTAACTTGATCTGTCGGTTAAAAAATACCAACTTTGAACCAAGCACCCAGCCACCTTTTCCACAATAGGGCTGCCAGACGTTCAAAAAAAGAACTAACACCTCGATGCACATATCGATAGTATTATCGATATTTCTTTGCTTCCACCGTGACCGACTATTGAATATTTTCGGTATATTTGAAAAAGTAAATTCGGTATTTAAAGTATATTTTTTGAAGCCGCGGTCACACTGACGCCATCTTTCTTTTTCGGGATCCGCACACCAAGTCAAGAGGTAATCGAGTGATTTTTGTCGAAATATAATAGAAAATGGCCCAAATAAAGCGAAATCACGAGTGAAATGTGTGTGCGAACGATGGCCCAGTGTGCGGGGCACCAAGTGCCGGCTGGCAAACGAGTGAAAAACCTGAGAAACCCAGTTCCAAACAGCACACGTGTTTGCCATACAAGCCAATATGAAAACTAATAAATGCATGGGGCATGGTTATCTTGCAGAGCGAATCAACATGCAGCTGTTCGTCCGTGGACTAGAGACCATCGAGGCCCTGGAGGTTTCCCAGGATGCCACCATCGCCGGAGTGAAGGTGAGTTCAGAGGATAAATAAACAGGGGTGTTCCTAACCTAATTGTGGTTTCCATTCATCCATCCCGCCAACCTGTAGAACCAACTGGCCGCGATCCATGGATTCAACGCCGAGGAATTCAGCCTCGACTGCGAGGGCACCACCATGGCCAACGATACGCCCGTGACCGCCCTCAGCTCCTTCGAGCTGGACCTTAACATTCCCATGCTGGGAGGTAAGGTGCACGGCTCTTTGGCCCGTGCCGGCAAGGTCAAGGGTCAGACGCCCAAGGTGGAGAAGCAGGAGAAGAAGAAGAAGAAGACCGGACGCGCCAAGCGCAGGATCCAGTACAACCGCCGGTTCGTGAACTTCGTCCAGGGCTTCGGCCGTCGTCGCGGCCCCAACGCCAACTCCACATAGAGAGTTTTGGATGAACAAGTGTCTCTACCTTTAACTCCAGATTGATATGATGTTCATAAAGTAATTTCAAACCTTTAAACAAACACCCCCGCGTATGTTGCACATTTCAAGAGGTCAGATGGATTAGTTAGTTGGCCAAAACAGAGTGTTAATCGCTTTGGATTTTAAATTAATCAAGTTCTCATCTTTAACCATCAGAAAACGTATGAAAATAGTCTAGTTAGTTGATTAATTTTTTCTAAAGTTTATATTTAAATTGTAGTTTCACTTGAGATTACAAAATGTAATTTTAGTAAGATTACGGCTAAAATCAAAACATTCAAAACTTATCTATAGTTATGCACCAGCTCTATTATGTTTGTAGGAAAACACTTGATTGAAATATTTTCAGAGATTATTGTATATGAATTGCCTTTCCAGATACATAGTTTATGAAGATAGTTTCATGATAGGAGGATGCTAGATGAATCCCTTTTTAAAGCCAGTACTTTACACATTAGCCAGAGGTCAGTTGATAAAATCTCGCCTTTTGCGACTCGCTCTAAAGCGGCGGTAACCCAGTTCACAGCAACCGATTATAAGGGCCACCGTGAACCCCATGAGCAGGACCAGAAAACAACCCTGCATGTCGTCCATGTTCACCTTGTGGTTGGTCACCTGCCGCTGGGCGCTCTTCCCGCTGCACTTGTCCGCGCTGGGCAGATTCATCTGGTGCCAGCGCTCGATGAAGCCCATCCGGAACATGCTGTTGATGTGGCGGTTTATCAGGTGCAGGTACGCACTCTGCGCCGGCACAATCAAGGCGATCTGCTCGTCCACGAAGCTCTCCTTGCCCAAAGCGAAGCGGCACTCCTTGTCCCGCTCGAAATGCTGCTGCACAATCAGCTGCAGGTTGATCCGCCAATCTATATTGATGCGCTGGCCCTGTTTCACCGCCTCGATGTCCTCCTCCTGGCCACTGCCGTAGATCCTGGCCCGTGACATGTAGTGCTTGAAGTCCTCCCGCGTTGTCGTCTGCACGTACCGCTCGAAAAAGGTGCCGTTTCGCAGGCCGTACTCTGATATCGCCTTGTGGCGCTCCAGCTGGTTGAGATACTCCACGCCCGGCTGGAACTTGGGGAAGGTGAGGAAGGCCACCAGGTTGCCGCAGTAGGTGGTCACCAGGACGATGACCACGATCCACCAGAAGCCCACCACCAGGCGGCCACTGTCTGCCCTCGGCAAATACATGCCTCCTGCAAAAGGGAATGGGTTTATCTTTAGATCTAATCTTTGTACCCTTGCAGTCATGTCCGTCCGTCTGTCTGTCTGTTTCTACGCAAACTAGTCTCAGTTTTTGAGCATCGGGATGAAACTTTCCCAAAAGTTTTCTTTCTATTGCAGATAGTATATAAGTCGGAAATGGAGATTGTAGCTTCGTTGTTTTTTAAAATATTACCTATAACTATTGGGAATATTATTTTTTTTAAATATTTCTGAATTTCGAATTAAATTTTTAAAAAATCGGATCACTATATCATATAGCTGCCATATAAACGGTCAGAAAATTAAATGGAAATTAATAGGAAAAAAATATATCTTTGTTAAATTTTTATTACATTCTCTTCATCTCTGGAATATAGCTTTTCTTTACCATTTCAAAATTTCAAATTAAATTTAACAAAATTCGGGCGTCTATATTATATAGCTTCCATGGACAGGATTAAAAAAAATAATGCCAAAATAATACGAAAGCAGCTAAAATTTTGATTGCTTTATCATATAAGCAAGTAAATCTAAATTTAATGTTTGTAAGTTAATAGGAACGAATCTGCAAGGGTATATAAGCTTCGACTGGCCGAAGCTAGCTTCCTTTCTTGTTTTAATAGTTTTTAATGGCAAAAGTTGACCTTTAACTACTTACCCTGTTGTAACAAGGCCCCGAATATGTACCAAAAGCAGCTTTTAACCGTGGACAAGCCGGATATTTGCATATCCCTAAGAGGAGCAAGCCGATTGATGGCATAGAGCATGGGAGCCGTCAGCAGGATGATGCCCACCAGGCAGAGCCAAGTCTCCATGGTAAAGGGAGCTGTGAAGAGGTAGATGCGCGACACCTCATCCGGCTTGCGGGTGATGAAGGAGTATTTCTGCACACTGATGGGCAGCGTGTAGTTGAAGGGCTTCTGGTCGGGATCCTCCACGGTGGCTGCCACGGCGGCGATGAAGAACTGATTGCCCTGCACCATCTCCACGACGCGGTAGGGAATCCGAAATGTCATTGAGCCAACCAACTCGTCCTGTGAATCAAGATTGTAAAAGAAATACTCAACAAACAAGAGAGTACGCAATAGACGGGTGGGTGTCCCGACTATTTAATACCCGTTAGCTAAAGGGAGTGCGAGGTAGAAAGATATATGCAATTTTGATTGGTCATAACTTTTTAATAAATGGTCCGATTTGAAAAAATGTCTTCTACAATGTCTTCTGCATTTATACATTTTTTAAATCTTAAAAGATGTGGCCGCCAGCCATTTTTTAAAATCGTTGTGGGCGATTGTGGGCTTTATAGGGGGCGTGGCGCTCGGCTGAAATAAACTTGCGTTGCGTAGGAAGCCAAATAATATGTGTGGAATATCTCAAACTCCTAGTTTTTATAGTTTCCGAGATCTCAGCGTTCATACATACAGACAGACGGACAGGCGGACAAACGGACATGGCTAGTTCGACTCGGCTAGTGACCCTGATCAGGAATATACTTTTGCACGAATACAATATACCCTTTTACTCTACGAGTAACGGGTATAAAAAGTAGGAGACTCTCACGCTTTCATTGGAGTTCGTTGACGAGCTCAGCATATAGTCTTCCCTCAATGTGGAGGCCTCATGCAGATAGTAGCTGAAATTCAGGGCCCGACTGAGCTCCTTGATGATCTCCATGACTATGCCGGAATGCTTCACGATCACTCCATGCCTGTTTTTGGTGAGCACTTGCCAGGGAGGATTCTACGAGCGATTTGAACCAATAATAAGGATTATATTCCTGGCTCAAAGACTCACGTGCACGGTCACAATGTCCATGGTGATGTTGCGGAAGTGGTGCTCTATGTGTGGAAAGGCCAGTTCTTGGCAGACGAAACCCAGCAAGGGACTCCAGTAGCCAATGTTGATGAACTCGAAGTTTTGGTTCTTGGCATCGCGTGTGGGAGCTTTAGGATATCCAAGCTTTGGGTGGGTCTTCTTTAGGTGAAGAAATACCGGACTTACCTGCGCGGAACTTGCGATTCTCCTGACTTTTGCCCCATGTAATAGCCGTTTCTATTCGCCATCTTGCACAGCTGGAGCACCTGGCGTTGGTCTTTAGGTAATCCTGTTAAAATTTAATAAGGATAGGCTATGTGTAGTTAATATTTATGATTTCTAATAGATAATATGACTAATCTCTGGGTTCCTTAAAATTTATTTATAACAAAATAAGTTGTTTTTGTATTTCTAAGCTTAAGTACTTACTTTCATGTACTCCAGGATCTCGGCCTGCTTCTCCTGCTTGGTAAAGCGAATGGACTCCCACTCCTCGTCGGAGATCTCGCCGTATACTGACTCCTCCTCGACGGTCATCTTGGAAATGGAAAATATGCAAAATATTTAAAGATGTTTAGGTATATTATACAATATACCTTTGAAATGGAGGTAACCAGAGCGAGACTTATCTCAGAGATCGTACAATTAAGTGTGTCCTGGCACTCGGGTTGGGTTTCATTGAGGGCGAAGGCTATGTTGGCACCCTCGTCCAGATTTATGGTCACAGTGCCGGCATCAAAGTCGCGACGCACCTTATCCAGCACAAAGAACATCCACTGGTTGCCCACATGGAACATGTTCAGGGTTTCGGCTATTTCGATAATGTCCTCGTGGAAGGCGGATACCACTAGGAACTGCTGGCGCGTCTCTTCGTGTTTGTTGGGGGCAAATTGGGCCAGAGCTCGACGAAGGGCAGCTCGCTTCTGTTGACCCCGCAGGGAATCGTTAATTTTGTAGAGGATCAGAGAGATGGGAGTGATGTGATTGGTGGTACTTTCGTGAACAATCGACTTGACCAGCACCGAGTTTTCATCCACTGTTTAAAAAAGATCAAATATCGGGTTAAAAATCATCATTGGGTATATAAGAAATTTATGAATACTACACACATATGGTTTGATCCACAAAAACCACAGCTGTCTTCCAGTTGAGAATCTGCTGGACCTTCGCATCAAGAATGACTTGAGGAAATTCATCGCCGTGCTCAACAATGGGTATCTAAAAGTCAATGTTGCTTCGAGGTAAAAAAAAGATATCTGGGATCCAAATTGTTCCATACCATCAGAGCTCGATTTAGTGGCAGTCGAGGACAGTCGGAGTCGGTGATAGCGATTAATAGAATTGAAGTCTCCTGTGTGTTCTTGTAAAACTTCCAGGTATTCTCGCAATCCGTCACCGTAATGGCGGCCAAAAAATCTGCAGTATATCAGTTAGCCTCACCACTTTAATAATTAAAGACCCTCACCCTTCTTCAATCGCACCGCGTTCCAACTGAAATACTTCACATTTATACCACCATTCTTCAGATTCTCCCGTATAATGTCACTCAGGATTTTCTTGAAATGGGCCATAATGTTCTGGCCATGTAGGGATGAGTATTCGTGATCCACAACAACGGCTTCATAAACGACCAGTGATTATGGTTTTGAAAAAAAAATCCTTTAAAATCCAAACTTACCCAGGGAAGCGTTGGCGCTCAAAAAGGAGGAAAAGTCATTGGCCTCAATCGGAACCAGGATAAAGAGCTGCAGTCCAAGAAGGAGCACAAGACAAGTTGATGACCGCATATCGCCAGGATTCCTGAATAAAGACTGAGCAAGCGAATCCCATCGAGGCAACGAGGTTACCTCGCTGATAACACCAAACCCAATTAAAAGCAAGCCGCGTGTTCGGTAGCCATGAAAAATTGATTGGCGGGAAAGTGGAAAAGCCCGGTGATTGACGGTTTGCGGTTAGGCTTCGACCACATCGAATGTCAAATCGGACGCAGGTGTTCATCGAAGGATATCAATTTCTGTTAACTTGTTTTATTTAATTGTAAGTATTTTATGAAATTGTTTGTCAGAATTGCCTGTATGAGCGGTAATTACATTTTACAATCTTATATCTTAGGGGGGACTGACAGAAGTGTTTAGGAAAACGGGAGAAAAATGGGATAATATGTCTAAGCTAGGGATTACAACTCACTTAGGTTAGATCTACTGGCTAGGTCCGTTGAAAATATCGTTTTCGTTCTCGTTTCGATTGTGTAAATTGTGTCAAGAATGCGCTGATCCTGTCGTCTTGGTTACATGCATGTCTATATATAATTTAGCTACAATTACGCCTATAGGTCAATTCCCAAAAATGCTTTCAAATATAAATGCAATACGATTTCGACTTGTTGTGGTTCCATTAGTGTTTACTTTATGTATATGATTATTACGAGTAAGTTACGAAGGGGAGTATAACCTGTATAAATATATATAATATATATATATGCCTCAGTGTACACATGTCTCTAATATGTAGCTTGAATCTATATTAATATCTGGTTCCATACCGTCTTTAAACTGCAAAATTTTTCATTGGTGGCTCCGGTACCCTCAACTTTAATTATTTTTGGTCACTGATCGCAAAAACATTTGATTTGGGGATGTCCAAAATTGGCTATTTCGTCTATTGCTCTTGATATACGCTCTACCGGATTGCACGTTCCCTTTCTCTACTAGCATTTTTGATTGATCTCCCGAGACCCATTTTGCCGTCTAGAGTCCTAGACCCATTCGTCCCGGGTTTACGACTTTTCTCATTCGTTCAGTATCGCACTTAGGCGCTCCTCCACGGCGACCTTGCGTGACTTCCAAACGAATTCGCAGACGGCGATGACGCAGGCCACGCCCATGCCGCCCATGAGGACCACAAAGACGCCGCCCACATTGGCCAGTCCCAGTTCATTGGCCGCCGACGAGGACTTGGAGGTCTCCACGCGGCACTTGCCGCCGCCGCGCTTCTCCTTCCACCACTTGGTTTTCAGGATGTGCAGCTTGCCCTCCTCCTGCAGCTTGAGTATCACGCTGTTGATGGCAGTGCGATAGGGGGAATCTGTGGGTGATAGTATCTAGTTAGTCAAGGATCTACTTTCGTTTATGGTAAACCTACTAGGCGGTGTGGCTATGCCATAGCTCTTGGTATCCAGCATTCCACCGACTTGCGTAAGTTCGCAGTTGCGTTCGGTCACATACTCAATGGATGTGGACTCCATCAGAAAGGCGTAGGATCCTGAAAAATGTAATATTAATATAACATTTTCTGTAAGAGATCTGCGAACTCACCTTTGCCCTTGGCCACCCGATCCACTCCTTCGCCATTGCTGGCTGTGAAAACAGAGGGACGAGCTGATTCCATGAAAGACCACATGCGCTGATATGTGGAGATCTTTGAGTCCTGCAAACAAGGATATTTGTTAAGAATATTACCCCAAAATATTTTCTAAATTTACCCTAAAGAAGGCAGCCGTACTCCCGCCCTTTAAAGCGCCGTATTTGATTCTCGTCTGCTTGGCCAGATCCTCGGCACTTTCGATGGGCGAATCCATCCGTTCGACAGTCAAGAAGGCAGCCAAATTGGCAGTGTACGAGGAAATCATAATCAGGGTGAAGAACCACCAAATGCCGGCCACCATGCGAGTGGATAAAGCCCTGCAAGAAATACGTTTCAAAAGGTAAAAAACTAATCAAGGTTTATTTACTTACTTGGGCAAAAAGTCGCAGCCCTGTTGCATCAGCGATCCAATGGCAAACCACATGCAATTGAGCAGGGTGAACTGACTCTCGACCTTCTCGCCATGGGCATCCGTATAGGCAGGCCATTCATAGGGAGTGAATCTGCATAAAAGATATAACTAGATCAAAGAACCCTCTAATAGAAAGTATACAACTTACTTTGCCAGAATGAAAAGCAGCACAGAGACACCCAAATAGGCGGTGGCCATGTAGATCCACACATCCAAGGACAACGGCGACAGGAAGGAGAACAAGTTGGGTGGCTGCTTAATGGGCTTCCTGTACAATATGGACACACCCAGATTCATAAAGGGAGTGGTGAAGTCCACCGCCTGCTCGCGCTCGAAGGTAATGGTGAGATCCGCAATGGCCAAGTCGGCACGCTGCTCCAGCAACTCCCGGATCATGCCGTTCCATTCGCTGAAACGAGGGGTTTTATAGTAAAAAGTATTCTATATTATAATAGATAGATAGATCTATACCCCGTTAGTTTGTTGAGACTTCCATAGCTGCCATCTGGCACCAGTTGTATTTTGTAGTTGAAGCCCAGCGACTTGGAGATCTCATGGATCAGATCCACCGCATAGCCCTCAAACTGATCGTTGCCACTCAGGGGAATGGCCGACTCCTTGCGCATGCAGTAGGGATTACTCTTTAGGAAAAATAAAAATATTTATTTAAAATTGAATTTAATATATTGAGCATTTTTAGCCTCACTAATATGGTCGTGACCACCAGTGTTTTGTTCTTCAGATTCGCCTCGATCTCCTGCTGCTTCTGGCTAAAGGTGCGCGTGAAGTTGATGCCATCGGGCAGCGTGGAGTTCCAGGTGCCGATCTTCCGTATGCCTGCCGGCGTCAGCTCCACAATGTCCAGCATGAAGTCCGTGCGGAAGCCCTGGTGATCGAACTTAATCACATTCGTGAGGCCCTTCATCTCAACAATCTTCATGTAGTTGATCAGACTGAAGCCGTGCTGCCAGGTGCTCTGGCCATCGCAACTGATCGGATGGATGTCGATCTGCTGCGAGGTGTCCAGGTCGTGCAGCGCCTTGGCGAACAGATGCACTGCATCGTACATGAGAGCCGTTTCCGAGCGCACGGTGGTCAGGTTGGCCGATCGCAGCAGGCCCTTCTCGTCGATGCTCCACTGGCGCACCACATCCGAGACGATCTTCTCGTTGATCAGCCGGAATCCGGTGATATTCGTGCCGCCATACCGGAACTCGTCCAGGTTCACCGTGTGCAGATCCAGCGAGGTCACCAGGTAGCTGTGATAGTCGCTCATCATGCCAATCTGCTGCGCCTGCTTCAGCACCTCGTGGATCCGCTCCGTGGAGCAGTCGAGCACGATGTGCGCCTCCGCCGAGTTCTTGATCTGTTTCAGAAGGGGTCTGTAATGGTGAGTAAATAATTTTAATTAAAAGTTTTGTTTAATATATAGTTTATTTTTACATCGAAATTTTAATTGCAAATTAAAATTCCAAAACGAATGACGAATCTTAGAATACAAACAAAAAAATGCATGTTCCCGTAAAATCGATATGGCCATGCAAAACCCATATCGTTTTTACAGGAAATACTCCTTTCGACCAGGTCAAATTTACCTGGCCGCATATCAATTTAAAATTGATCTTAAATAATGTAAAATCAATCTTCGTTTCATATCGATTTTCTTCAGGTGTAAATGCTTTAAACTGTAAGTTCTTCTTGAACCTTATTTAAAATAAACCTACAAAATCGGTTTGATCGGATTGATCATCATTGATCTAAAAAGCATTACTACTTTTTATAAAGATTATAAAGCTATATATATATATTTAGTAAAATAGCTAGCTATTATTAAAGATTCTTTAATAAAGATGTATTGCAACTACTGTAACTAAACATTTCTATATTAATTTCGTATAATAGTAATCTTAATCAGTTCTACGAAAATAGGTTGGATATGTGGGCCAGAATAAAAAAAAAACTCGGAATCGGTGGAAACGATTAGCTGGGCTTACCGGTAATCCCCGCTGTCGCTTAGCTGCCGCACAGTAATGGGAAAAGGCGTCATCCCGTGGGCCTTCAAAAGCTCCTGCAGCCTCACGATGCCGTCATTGTTCTCGTAGATAATGGTGAAAGTCTTCCAGCCCCAGTGTCGCACGATATCCACGTAAGCCTAAGAGCAAGCAAAAACATCAACAATGAAGTGGAAGAGGTTGTGGGGGATGCAATTGCACCTGCCTACCTTGGAGAGCGTATTAGGGTGCGGATAAAGATTCACCAGGCAGCTTTCGCGTCTCAGCCGGTAGTCCCAGCGATTCTCCAAGTGGGGAATCTGCAGTGAGTGTGTTTCAAAGTTATTCAAAGGGTTTTGTGAGACATTCAAGTCCCTACTCTACTACTCACCTCCATGTTGTCGCAAATGCTCTGCACATGGCTGGCGGTGTGCGAGGATTGTGGCCCAAAAATGGCTGCAACACCGATGTTCAGTAAGCCGCAAACTGAAAGACAAACAGCGCAATTGAGGTTTATGTACCCAGTTATTTGTTGCTCTTTGACGAACTTAGTTTGCCGAACCCAATTTACGGAAAATCAAACCCAACCGCTGTAAAATATCTGCGGGCTTTCCCGAATCGCAAGGAGCAACTTCTGACATTCTTGCCTTATGGCAAATTGAGTGAAACACAAATCCCAAAGAGCTTAAAAGTCGCAAATTGATTTTCTGTTCCCATTCCCATTCCCATTCCCATTCCCAGTCCCAATCCAATCTGCTTGTGGGGGGAAGATAATCTGGGGCTACGACTTGTAAGGCTCAAAAAGTAAAAACGCGCCCAAGTAGCGCAGTAATGTGCTTGGCTTTTGGCTCAGTAATGTTCAGTTAGCCTCGTTCGCATATTTAAAATGCACTTCAGTATGACATAATTTCGTTTAGCCCGTTTGGTCCTTCCTTTCGGCCCCTAAAGGATTTTCCCCCGCCTGCCAGTCAGCATCCTTTTGGCTCATCAAACGCGCTAAGCACGTGTAAGTGCATGTGCACCTGCACTTCGATGTCCTGGCTCTGTGATGCGGTTAACCTGCTCCCAGGACTCGGTGGGTGGAGGGTCCTCGTTACTGTCGTGCTGAAGTGTGGTTTACTCTTTCTGGCCAAGCCAAGGTATTTTTCCTTTTTGGCCATGTGCTCGGGCCAACTTCGGCGTCATTTGTGTCTCATTTATCACAGGATATTCGACAGTTGGCTCACGTTCCTTTGCCCGCTTTACGATTCATCTTCAGCTCTTAACGATTATCAAGTGCCAGAGAAGTTTCACCTGCTACCCAATACCCACAATAAACTGCAAATGGCAGACTGGCCGGGCTTACACATAAGGATATTTATCCGGTCGAATTTAAGAGGGGTTGATGTTGGTGCTTTGATATCGTGTGATATCATCCAACTTTATTTTACATTTACAAATTTAACAGCCAAATTAACAATATTTTTATAATAGTGTCAATATAATGTTTTTGTCGGACAAGTCGGAAAATTGCAGTTTGGAAAACCGATAAATGTTAAAATATATTAGAAGCGAGATTAGCTCAAAAAATTTCTATTACCAAAAAAGGTCGCATATAAGGCCAATCTTTGTAAGTTAAATAAGTATTAGATTCTGGACTAGGTAAAACCTTTCAAAACAATAATATAGTGAGGATATAAAAATTAGTTAATATTATTTTTATGACATAGAAGTTTAGTTAACAAAATAGATTGACTAAATATATAAGAGATTGAAATATTTTTGTAGTGTTTTGACAGATGTTTAGCACTTTATAATCGTTTTAAAAGGGAACCAAGAGTCAAATCCCATTTACTGCGAGTTCAGAAGTAAAAAGGAATGAAGTCCCCCAGGCAGCAATTAGCATATCATAAATCGCAAATCAAATACAAAAGCAAACAAAGGGGTAAATCAAGCACAAGGAAAAACAGAAACAAAGAGATGTCAATTTAAGGATGACAAGGGAACTCAAAGCGGAAACAAAAAGGAGATGAATGTACATATGTCCAAATCAAATATGCAGGTGAAAGCATCAGGTGAAGGTGAAGTTTACGTTGGAGAGAAAAAGGCAACAGGGTGAAAGGTGACGGGATTGTGGGAAAGCAGGCCAAGTCAACACTTTGAGCACTCTGTACTCAGTACCGTGAACTACTCACCCCTTTTCCCGGCGTGGAAACTGTCGAAGGGCGAGATGCGCTCGATTTGGGCCACCAGCTTGGAGCGCGGCAGGATGGATCGGTCGGCGTTGATGCGGTCCACCGCCTGGCGGAAGGCCAGCTCCTGGTGGTCGTCGGAGGGATGGAAGAGCCCACCTGCGGTTACAAATTATAGGTCGTGTTTTTTGTTCGAGTGTCCATAGGCAAATGTATCAAATATTTTGGTTCAACTCCCGCGGTGCGCAAATAAAAACAAACAAAACACAAACACCCCCACCCGTATGAAACCCACAAACTCATACAGAGAACGGCGCTCTTGATTATGACGTGTAAAAAATCGATACGTAACGAAGATGCGAGCGGAATTTTGTTTTCATCTGGTTTTTGCCGCAGCTCCTCTAATTCGGATAATATATCATTTGGTTTTTAATCTTTTACTCACCAATCTTGATAATATCGGGCAGTGATTGAGCTTCTCGGCAGTTGAAAATTAATTGCAGCAGCAGCAACGGCAGGACCAAAAGCCGTCTTGACCGCATCTTGAAATCGCTTGAGATGGCAGTTTCCGGTTTCCGATGATTGCCCCGCTGGATATCAATCACTTGTCACTCGCTGGATTTTCTTATCTAGCAGATATTTAACATTTTCACTTGGCGGCACTTTCGCTGAGTGTTTTAACTGATTTTCCTGTGGTATATGTTTTGATTTTTCCGAAATTCCGCCCAACCGCTTTCTGTGAGGATGTGACATCCACTGAGCTGCGTGTGTTTGATCTGCCTTCTTTTATCCTGTTGCGGAATCGCCTGGCGAGGTGGGGTGTTTTGTGGGTGAATGTGTGTTGGTGGGTGGTCCAGCATCCAAAAGCCGGCTGACAGTTCCAACAGCTGCGCACTGGATGCTGCGAGAGCAGAACCATAGGGGTTGCCACCCCCTTCGGCAGATGAGCTTTCCGTCCTGAAGGTCGTTGGTGGGAAAACATGGTAATTTGGCTCAAAAGTAAACTGCTTTGCCGACGATGGGCTTTCTAAGCTTTTGTGGTTGTGGAATCTTAAAAAGGTTCCACAAAGTTACCATTTAAATTATGTGAATTCAATGAGAATGGGTTTAGACTTTGTAATAATTCATGATAGGTTATCAAAATATACAATTTCGAATAATTGTATAATTTCTACGCAATACCACTTAGTTTAAAATATTCTTTAATAAAGAAATTTAAGTTTTTTTAAGAGCAGTTTTAAAAATCCCAATTTAATTATTAAATGCTTAAAATTATTATTTTAAACAAATATTTCAGTTCGTTTCTTAGTCCATTTAATATATTTAAAATATATTAAACATTTTATTTTGTGTTGGCTTTTTACTATTTTTACCAAAATGCTGGAACCCCATCCTTAATCAAGGAACCGACTCCTCTGCCCTCCTCCCCTTGAAAGGTCCGAAGAGGAAAAGGATTAAACGGCACAAAGGAAGCAGCCAGCGGAACGGCGGCGAGTAAAGGGCATAAATAAAACAGAGAGCTCATTATGCCGTTGACCGCGTTGAGCTTAAAGTGCAAGGATAATGCAAAGCGGCAGTGAAGTGATGGGGAAATGCATGCGAATGGCGACTGGAAATGCAGGCGCGTAAATGTGAGAGTATTAACAATTTAACAAACAAAGGCAAAGGGCCATTAATAACACACAACAACAGTTCTGCCGCTTAATATACCCACAATCGCGCGCACATACATATATTATGCATGTGTGTGCGGCCATAAATACAGAATGTCGTTGCGGGAAAATCGTAGCGACTCGCGCCAAATATCATCAAGCTCTGTTGCCTGGCAAATGAGTTGGTTCAGTCAGATGCGCCAGCTCCAAATGCACCGGAAAAAAATTATATAAAAATGTCTAGAATAAACAAGAACAAATATTGTTATTAAGTTTATTTTATCCATTTATATCCTTCGGAAAAATATTATATGATGCTTATGGATTATTTTGACAATATGTAATACTGTTTCCAATTTATTTAAGATCTTTATATAGTTTCTATTAGAAACTTATTTATACGACTAATGCTATCTTTATCGGCAATGCAAGAAAAATCTTCAGAGGTTTTGAAACTTCTTAATAAGGTCTTAAAAAAAATTCGAAGGTTAATTTAAGGATCTAAGGATCAATGCCGAAAAAATATCTCGTATTTTTCCCAAATGTAACGAAACAACATTAAAGTTTTTCATGGTGTACTGTTTTCTGTGTGTGTGAGAGCCCTTCGTCCTGTATCTGCACTTGTGTCCGTGTCGCCATGCCTGTGTGTGTAATCATGCATATCTTTGCCAGTGGGTTTTCGGTTAGTGCCTTATTTACATTGGCCGGAAGCTGCTGGTTGTGCTTGTTTCCGCTTTTGTCTGTGCGACTTCATCACCATCTCTCTCCCCTCTCACTCCGTTCTAGCATCCCTCCCTCTCGCACTCTCCCTTCGTGCTTTCTTTGCCGTGGCAGTGAAGTAGAGCAATGGTCTGGCTCATTAATTTCAACATAACGCGCACATGGCCAACAAATTTTCCCACGTACGCACACGTATAAATTGCACACTCACACACACACACACACAGTGCGGACATAGTTGGCTCTTAGCTTTCAGCGGTAATTATTTCAAATTAAATGGCGAAAGCACTTTTCAAGCAGGTGCTCCCGAAAGTATCCAGCATATTATTAGCAACGGTATACGACAGCCTCGATAAGTCGAACTGGTCGGTAAAAAAATATATCTGCCACGTTTTTTTTATTTATTGCAGCACTTAACTTTCTTCAAAAAATAAATACGTAATTTTTTTTATTTTTAAAAAAATTGTAAATTTGAGCTCTTAAACAAAGTGTTATAATAGAATTTTCAACTTAAACGTTTTTAAGTTAAAACTTAATAATCAATATTTAATTAGAAAAATGTTAGTTTGTGGAGGGCTAATGGTTTTTGTACTTTAGGCAGCTTTTTTGTTCGTGACGGTCTTAAGCATGAGATTGCACTTTGATTTCGTCTGCTGGCAGACACCAACCGAGATGGAGAAAGCCAAAAAAGGCATCTGACTTCTGGACTCCCTCCTTACTCCCCGACTGTCTGCCAGTCGTCTGGCCTCCATCAATTTGGCCTTTGGGCTGGTTTTATTATCCCAATGCGCATGGAAATGCTGACAAGGTTCGCCTGTCATGTCCGACTCTTAGGCTAAATAATTTTAATAATGCAAAGTAAGATATACACACATGAGAAGGTTATGCCCGGAGCCATAGGATTCCAGGGTCAGGAGGACCTCGAAAATATTTTCACATTCTGTATGAATGTAAATACATTTTCGGGCAGTTAGTCATCCCCTCTCCATTCGGTTTCCAAGAGAGTTGCAGGCAACGAGAGATGAAAGCGAAATACCAAAAGGAAAACAGGGAAGTGGAAAACTGTTGCCGTTGGTCAAGCATATGCAATGCATTTTCCAGGCGGAGCTTACTTAAAAGAATGTAAATGCCAGGCTTTACTTACTCATGATGTGTAGTTTCGTATAGCATTTTCCATATTTTACACAAAAGAATTTGGCTTGGCATTCCTACTGTTTTGGTCCCTGCCATTATTATTATTTTTGGTAGAATTTTACCGCTCAGACAAAAAGCTTTGGGTAAGCCATAAAAAACTATACTTTGTCATTGTTCTGAATAATAAGCAACTGTTGCTTTTTCGAAAAAAACGTTGGCTCTTTGTATGTACATGATTAATTAATCGTAAAACATATTTAAGCGGGAATAAACGAAACAACTTCAATTAATTATTATTTGTCGGCTAAAATATATTGATTGAATAGCAAATTACCTTTTAAAATATAAATAATTTATTGGTTGCCTGAAATAGTAATTCACCGTGCAACCTTCAAGTTATAAATTAAATTTTAATTATTATACCCGTTACTCGTAGAGTAAAAGGGTATACTAGATTCGTGCAAAAGTATGTAACAGCTAGAAGGAAGCGTTTCCGACCCCATAAAGTATATATATTCTTGATCAGGGTCACTAGCCGAGTCGATCTAGCCATGTCCGTCTGTCCGTCTGTATGAACGCTGAGATCTCAGAAACTACAAAAGCTAGAAGGTTGAGATTTCCCACACATATTCTTTGGCTTCCTACGCAGCGCAAGTTTATTTTAGCCGAGCGCCACGCCCTCTCTAACGCCCACAATCGCCCACTAACGATTTTAAAATGGGTCCTGCGCCCACATCTTTAAAGATTTCCGAGAAGTATAAATGCAATTTTGTTGTGTATATTTATAGCTATCGAAATGTAGAAGACATTTTTCAAATCGGACCATTCATTAAAAAGTTATACGTAATCAAAAATTATATATCTATCTCCCTCGCACTCCCTTTAGCTGAGTTACGATTATTAGTCGGGACACCAACCCGACACAGCGTTCGCACTCCCTTTAGCTGAGTGACGGGTATTAGATAGTCGGGACAACAACCCGACTATAGCGTTCTCTCTTGTTTTTTTATTGCAGAAGTCTTGTTGTGGATGTCTCAAGCGAACAAGAAGCAACTCAAACAGCTTTTAGTGAGAGCACTTTCACATTTCTCCTGCACTTCATGTTTTGGTACACACCAAGGACGTTTTATTAGTGTTTTTAGAGCATTTGACGGGCAATGATGTCACATGTCTGATGGCAAGGACGAACGACACATTGGAGCGGCAGTGGCATATGCAACAAATTTGTAAGGACGCTATTTAATTCCATGTCGGCTCTTCGGATGCCGTCGCTGAATGAATGGATGAAGTGAAGCCCTGGGGACACGCCCCCAAATCCTCAGTTCGAAGGCGCCTCCTTGCTGGCTTACACTTTGGCTTCGGCCCGCTTTTATAGGCGCCTCCTCAAATCCACTTTGTAAGCCATTCCATTGGTAATAAAGGCGCAAGTGAGTGCCGCTAATATAAAATTGAATTTAAATAAATGGAGTAGGGGCCGTAAAAAGCCAAAAAGCACCGCGCTTCGTTTCTGATTTGATTTGTTTGGAGGCGCACGCCCAGCACTTAGGCGCCATTTGATATGCAACAATCTTTGGCGGCAGCCGAAAATTGGGAAATCGGAAAATCGAAGAGCGGAAAAGGAAGGAAAGCGGGGCATCATCATCATCATCAGAGGAGCTCTCGAGTGCGGGAGTTTCGCTTTGTAATAAATCGCATGGAAAGAAATGTATGTAGCCCGAAATCGTTTTAATTTATTCATGCCACGCGCTTTTGCTGTTTAACATAGGAGGGGTATTGATTAAAAATGCAAAGGACTGCACTGCGCCGGCACTTGGATCCTTGAATCAGACACCTAAGTACATATATGCAATGCCTCTTCCTTTTGGCCGCATTATGCAAATACTGTTGACACAGATTCCAAGGGCTGAACTTGAACCTGCTAAACTGAACCCGAACCCTAATCCGAACCGCTGTTGCCGCTTTCATTAATTAGTCGACAGGCTGTTAGGCAGCTAATTAAAGAGCCGGCCTACAAATTGGCAGCTTGTGTGGGCCATGTGGGATAGATTTAGGCAATTAGCACTCGCTGTACACCCGCTGTACAAAAACCTTTTTAAGGGGGGAAGGGCCAAAAGAACCACCACCATTCCGGCAGTCAGTGGGAATTTTAAACGGGCCAACAGCTACATCGAGATTGTCGTACCTGCACAAAACATCTGGCTGCGTGTCCTTGCTCGCCTGAGTCCTCCTGATTGCGTAATTCCAGCTCACAAGTGCCGACAACGGTTGAGAGTCTATTAAAAATGTATTATCAGTGCGATTGCCACCAGATCCTGCTGAAGTGTCGACTTTATTCCCAGCATATCCCGTTGCTATCCATGCGCAGTTGTTTGAGTGTAAATGTTTCAATTAGCCCTGGCGGCACTTAAAATAAATAGTCTGACTCTGCTCATTTAGCTCACATGTACGGAATACATGTGGGTAAAGTGCATGGGAATCACATCGTTTTTATATATATTTAGAAGTGTTTAAATGAAAATTTTAAAACTGATTTCTTTGTACTTTAAGCTTAAAGATTCTTATACATTTTTAATCCCACTTAAGTTACTGAAAATCGTATTAAGCAATACCGAAGCATTATGGCTTAAATTTATTAACTGCATGTGATCTGTATTTTTATCAGTGTAGCAGTTATTGGTTTGAGTCATACAAATATTAAGTCATACGAACTTTGTTAATCTCTACACTAATATAAATTCATCAGAACTCAACGGCTCAATATATAAATTTAAATATAAGTAGGTATACAGAATTAAATGTAACCTTATCAGTTGTTTAAGTAATTTTCTTATCTGCTTTGATTATGACAGTTCCTGAGAATTTTTGAGGGCCCGTTTACAGTACATATATCGCTTATATGTACTAAATAATTATAATCAATATTGCGAGTATGACCTAACTGCTGCTTTAGCTGATTTGTTAAGGCTTTGCAATTTTGCAGTTTTAATATAATTTTGTTGAAAAGCTGGGCTATAAATTCTGCTTCTGTGTTGCAGGTCTATCAGTTCGGTTTCAGCGTTCCATAAAGTCATATCAAAATGAATTCCCCAATTGCTCTATTGTAAGTAACTGCAGTTGTTGGCTCTACTTGAAATATTCATGTTTTTTACAATTAACTAGGTTCTTCGCACTGCTCCTGATCAGTCCTTTGTGCTTCGGGTATACTGATGAAGAACGTGAGGCCGATCGTCTTAGGGTGGCTGAAATTATCCGAACCTCCCAGGACGCAGATGCCAAAATCGGTAACACCCAGGAATTGCTTGACATCTATAAACGTTTAGCTCCAACTTTGTCGGCTGAAGACAGGGAGCAAATTGAGAGCCTAATTAAGGAGCATACTGATGAAATATTATTCGATGGAGTTCCGAGTCAAGGCGGACGGAAGACCAAGTACGTTGGCAAGGTCCTTACTCCAGTTGCGAGGGACCTGGCTTCTGGATTCTTTCAAGAGCTCGGTGCTAGCATTGCCAGATTATTCAGTGGTTAATGTCATTGAAAAGTAATTCAAAAATATATTTTTGCATAACAAAATGTTAATAAAAAATTAATATTTTTGTAAAATGTTTAACCTATGCATTCAAATAAAATTTGTATAAAGTACACTGCAGTTTTACCTACTTACCTTCGCTTACAACACAGACGCTAAATGGTATTTTTTACACCTGACTTGTTGATCAATCTGTGACTGTGACTTTATTATCAGATACATAAGCAAACGACGTACACCGTAAAAATCTGGAATAAATTTATATGTATATAAAATAAATAAGTATGGAATAGCCGTTTTTGCCAAGAAGCAGGCCGACCATATGTACATAAAATAATTACCGCCGAGCCAACGTTTTGTTCCTTATCGCTTTTGTATTTAAAACGATGTCCATTAAACTCAGTTGATGTGGCTTTACATATATGCATAATGTAATGCAGATTTGATATCACTTAACGCTGTGAGGCTATTTATTCAGCTTGTTGGGCTGAAAAATTGTCATTTCAGCTTGATCTTGCGTTCCACAAAGTATTTACGCCATGAATATTATAATGTCCATCATGTAAGTAACACTGTATATTGGTTTTATTTGAATTTATTAATTTCTTTCTCATTTTTTTCATTTTATTAGGTGCTTTGCACTTCTTCTGATTAGCCCGTTGTGTTCAGCGTATACTGCCGAACAACGTCGAGCTGATGGCCTTAGGGTTAATCAGATTATCCAAACTTCTCGCGATGACAATACCAAAATCAACGGGATCCAGGAATTACTTAACATATATAGACGCATGTCCCCCAGTTTAAGGCCTGAAGAAAGGGAGAGGATCGACAGGTTTATTAAACCGCATACGGAGGAAATATTAATCGATGGAGTGCCAAGTCAAGGGGGTGTGAAAAGCAAGTATGCCAGAAAGATCCTGAGTCCAGTGGTAAAGAGTGTGGCTACAGGATTCTTCGAACAGCTCGGGGCAAGTCTTGCAAGCCTTTTCGAGGGTTGGTTTTCATCGAAAAAGGAAGAATAAAAGAAGAGAAGAAGGAATTTTGATACAAAAATTTATAAAATTGTATAATAGTTTTGTATTTTATATTATTAAAATCTATCTACTTTTCTATATAAATGTGTGCCAAATAAAAGTGTAAAACTTCTGAATTAAAGCATATTTATTGTGTATTTTATTCGAAGGTCAGAAATGATTTAACTTATTATCCCATATATTTTAAAAAAGAAATTTGTATGCGAATTTTTCATGTAAATTTTTCCGGTCCTACTCTTAAACAAAAATAATATCTAAAGAATGGAACAATTTTTCATGTAAATTTTTCCGGTCCTACTCTTAAACGAAAATAATATCTAAAGAATGGAACAATTTCGTATCTTTCCAGCAATAACAAATGACTATTTTTTTAGCTTTAAGCTTATTTTCTTTCTCGTGTGTGTGTATGTTGAACATTATTACGTTTAAGCCTAAAAAAAAGGATTGTTGGTAATTTAAGGGAATTGTGCTAACGTACAATTTTCCGGTGAACGGGGAATCATAAAAAAAAATGTATCGAAACTAAGTGACTCATAATTAAATTCTGCTTTAAAATTCAATAAAATAATGTTTATTATTTGTATGTGTAACAAAAATATTATTGACAGTTCATGAGAACTTTGATGGGAAAATTTTTAGTGTGTGGGTACAAGTTTAATTCCAATGAACGTTGCAAACGCCAACAAAGTGCCGTTTTTGCTGATTTGTAAATATATTGCCATTCAGCAGTTTCACTTTGAATTTCATCTTGCGCTGGGCTATAAATTCTGTTTCTGGGTTGAGAGACTATCAGTTCAGTTTGATCCGGCGTTCCTTGAAGTCATAACAAAATGAATTCCTCATTTTCTCTAATGTAAGTACCTCTCTAAGATAACTTGGTTTTGATTAAATATTAAATTTGTTTAAATTTTATAAACATTTATCTAGGTGCTTTGCACTGCTCCTGGTTAGTCCTTTGTGCTTCGGGTATACTGATGATGAACGTGAGGCCGATCGTCTTAGAGTGGCTGAAATTATCCGAACCTCCCAGGACGACGATGCCAAAATCGGGAACACCCAGAAATTGCTTGACATCTATAAACGTTTAGCTCCAACTTTGTCGGATGAAGACAGGGAGCAAATTGAGAGCCTAATTAAGGAGCATACGGATGAAATATTAGTCGATGGAGTTCCGAGTCAAGGCGGACGGAAGACCAAATACGTTGGAAAGATCCTTACTCCAGTTGCGAGGGACCTGGCGACTGGATTCTTTTCAGAGTTTGGTGCAAGCATTGCTAGATTATTCACTGGTTAATTTCAATGAAAAATCGTTATGCATACCAAAATGTAATTCAAAAATTTCGAATTATGTAATATGTTTATCAGAAACCTTGAAATAAAATCTGCTGCACACTGCATATATGTATGTATTCTTTTTCAATCACTCACATAGCTTATCAAATTCGAATAAATAACTTAATGAAATTATATAAAATTAATAACATCAACATCGTATGTCAATTTGATCAAATAGCCAGCCTCTTTAGGCACAGAATATAGATGCAGCTATTGATTCCATGGAATTGATAGCTTTGCCTCTGGGGTCATCGCTTCATTACGGAATTCCTAGAAATTATACTTGGTAATCTTATTTTATTTGGATCGCGCTCAATTAAATTTAATTGCAATGTTTAACATTTAAACTATGCATTTACGTCTGTATTGAAAATTTGCTTATACCTGAGCTATATATTCAGCTTCTTGTCGGCAATATGCTCAGTTTAGTTTGCAAAGTCTTTACATCATGAATTTGATAGTTCTTACAGTGTTAGTTAAATGTATATTTTATACCTGTACTATATTCATTATTTTCGACTTTGTTCTATCTTTTACATTTAATCAGGTGCTTTGCATTGCTTCTGATTGGTCCATTATGTTCAGCCTATAGTGACGAGGAACTTCAGGCTGATAGCCTTAGACTTGCTGAGATTATTAAAACCTCTCCAGACGACAACACCAAAATCGACAGGATCCCGGAATTACTCGACATATATAGACGTATGTCACCCAGTCTAAGCCCTGAAGAAAGAGAGAACCTCGATAGGTTAATTAAACCGCACACGGAGGAACTTTTAATCGATGGAGTTCCAAGTCAGGGTGGTAGGAGAAGCAAGTATCGTAGTGGGGGGATCCTGAAACCTATTGTAAAAATCGTTGCGAGAGAATTTTTCACAGGGCTCTCTCAAACTATTACAGACATATTCAGTAGTTGGATTTCTCGTAAAAACAAGCCGTGAATCAGATGACTAACTAACGAAATCAACTTGCCTTTATAAATATTTTTTGGACGATCAAATGATTGTTAATTAAAATTGATTGGTAGCCCTACTAAAAGAATTGCATAAATTAAATTAAAGTCCGTACTTTTACCATTCTAATTTAAATTTTTAAATTATTGATTAAATAATAGTGTACAACATTGAAATTAATAAATACATATGGCTCTTTTAATCCAATCAGTTTAAGAATTTAATAACTATCCTTATTGTTATCCTCGAGTTGCAATCGTGGTGCGAGTTTTTCATGTACATACTACAATCAGCCAGTGCCTGCATACAAACATCTTCATTTCCATAAAATGCATATTCATATTTCCTGAACAGCATTTTTCCCGCTGCGTTGTGTATTATGTAACCGAAAAATATCCACCCAGATGAAATCGTAAAAGCTGACTTAAAAATTTAGAAAGAATGGAATCCCTGCAACTTTATTCATTCAATCTGGTCAACAAAGTTTGCGTGGAATTCAATCAACACCCGGGCATCTGAACTGGACGGAGAATGTTTTTTGGGAAAGTTTTCGGAATTATTATTTCTGTGTAAAATGCTTTTTTCGGTGTTGCAGAAAAACTCGTTTTCGCCTGGCAAAAGTTTTTGATTGTCTGGCCGAAACAAGGCATGTGGAAAGTAATTACCATGCAAGTGTCGAAAGCGTCTGACAGGGTCCTTCTACGGAGAGTTTTCCCCACCCAAACCCATACCCAAACCCATCTGCCACAGGACTTCCGTGTCGGTGGGCTCTACACTAGTGTGTGCTCGCCTCATCAACGCCATCAGCTGTGGCATTTGACTTCTGAATGTGTCGTAAAGTTGATCCCTTCCCCGCCCGGTCTTCTACCCATCCTGTTTGCTGAACTTGTCAACGCTGCTGCTACTTCTGCTGCTGCTGCTGGCAATTTGTTTAATTAAATGCTCGCCCAAGAACCAACATACACAGACCAACACAAACACTCACGGTATCCGGAGCTTGCAGGGCAATATTAAATTGAATAACAACGGCTAAACACATCGAGGCTAACACCTGCTTATCGATGTGTCAACTGCAGTGACCGCCTGTCCTTAATTATAGGTTGTTTTCCTATATCAAACTTTCATTACCTCTATCGAAAATTTAAAAATCTTTAAAACCTTATATTTGACTGGGATTTCTTGTCCTTAAGTCTTCTTTATAAATATTTTTGGCACTGCTTTCAGCCTAGCATAAATATTGCCTAAATTCCGTAGTTTTAACTCAGTGTCACACACTTTTTGGCGAGCCAACCAAGTGGGTCACTGGGATTTGATGACACAACATGCAAATTGAGTTCACAGCACAATGGAAAGGCAAAAGTGAAGGTTGCCAAGCATCTTTAAGCCTCTGCAACGCACTTTTTCCCCAGGAAGACTTAGGATCCAAGACCTTAACACCAGCAGGCCGTACTTCCTAATTATACTTGTGGCGGGGAATTCAGCCTGAAGGCAGTAAAAAGCCGTCCTGTTGCACAGGGTTTCCTTTTCTAAGCCCTTGCTTACAAGGGTTCTCATTCTTATCCTGCTGTTGCTGTTGTTGCTGTGCTGTGTAGGCTCTTACATTATCGCCTATATCGTCCTGATTATCATGTGACAATGTGGCACACAAAATAAAATCAGCATTTTTGCCTTGTCAAGTGTTTGCCCCTGCAGACAGCCAGACAAAACCGAACCGAAAACCAAACTAAACCGAGTCGATCTGAGCTGAGCTGAACTGTGTTCGTCGCAATGAAATATCCTGCAGGCACACAAGCTGCTCCTGCGATGTCGACTGCCAAAACAGGATACGCATCCTGCGGGGAGCGGCTAGGATATCCTCTTAGCATTCCCCGGCTCATTGGCATGACCCTCAACTATTTACATGGCCAAAAACATGCTCCACCATCCCGCAAGCCCAGCACATTGGCGAAACTTTTGGCATGGCTGGCTTTAAAGGCTTGGCTACTAAAGTGCTGCAAAGTTTCTTGGCTGCAAGGAAATTGAAAGAAATAACGACACTTTTTAGTTGCTGGCAAAATGCCATTAAATGGGGTAGAACAGAACGGTAGGGAAAGAAAATGGCTTAGCCCAGTTTAATTGTAAAATAAACTACGAGTACATGAATGAAATAACTATTGAAGCGCATCTGTGTTTCAATTATACAATATTCTTTCGTCAGTCTGAAAAAATTCAGAACTTATTCTCCTATTCCAGGAAGGTTCATTCCATTAGGCTAAATATATGTAAGGATACACTTTGGAGGTGGATTTTCCATTTCCATCCTAGGCAGCACAAAACAGTTTTCCCCATTCATCCCAGCCAAACTGTTTTTGGGAAAATTCAATTTCGTTTGTTTATGAGCACAAGTCTAATTCAAATGCAAAGATAAGGCACAACGTTGCGACGACTACAATGGATAGATACTTCGGCACGATTCCTTCCCTGAAGACGTCCTATCTTTCGCTCTCTTCGAGTGGTTTTCCTTACCACACGCATATGCTGATAAAGTTTTAGCACCTGTACGGGGAAAAAAAGGTGGCGGAGGCTGGAAAACCGAAAAGAAAAGTTTGCCATTTACAGCCCATCAAGTCGGCTTCAATTTCGCCTACCTTTTGTTTGGGCCTGGGCCTACGCCATCCATCCATCCAATTCCCCCTCTATTTTTCAGTGTATGTATGTCCCGGCCTCTTTGTTTGTCACTTTCGGCACAGTTTATGCGCTTTTTACAACGTGTATCCTTTTTGCATGTCGACTTAGTGTTTTGGCTCTGCCTTTCACCATTTTATTGCAGCAACAAAAGGCTCCTTAAGCACGTGTAAAGCGAACACCCAGACATACACGGTGCAAAGTCAAGGGAGCGCAACAGTGCGGTTGGAAAACTTTGATCTTCCTGGCAGGAGACTTAATTTAATGTCCTTCTCGTGGGCTGCCAACGCTGCTTGCCGCTGACTTTTTGCCAGGCGGACTCCTGTTTTGTTTAAGTTTTGTGTCGTGACACAAACACTGAATTTCAATTACCGGCTGCGAAGGTCCTTGCCAAAAGGATAGGCCTTACACATGGAAAAATGTTTAAGTGTTTGGTTTCAAATAATTAAAAATAATTAAAGTGCAAAAAATCGTAAGATTTTTTTTAACAGAAAGTTATTTCTGTCAAAATCTGTTAAATTTCATCTTAGTCATTTTTTTGCTGGAACACAGTTATATCAGATCAATTGCAAGCTTTTTCACCCCGGAACTGAGCTGATAAGAAATAAAAATCATTGTCAGCTTTCTTGGAATTTACAGAGCTCAATCAACAACAGATTGCTATTAATGTCACGATTCCAGAATTATCAATTCCATGAAAAGTCCTTGGCCCATGAACCGTTGAACATAATCAAGAGCCATATGTAAACAGAAAGAAAGGAAGAAGTAACGTTATCAGATTTCTCTGATGAACGTATACATAATTCACAGAATCCAAGCGTTATCACTTTTAATGCTCTTACTTATTTCCCAGTTTTCTCAAGAGCTGTCTATAAAAGAAAAACTTTCCATGTGGACAGCATCATTTCTCCAGAACCATCTCAAGTAAAGAAAGCAAGGATGTACTTTGCCATACGCCTAAGGTAACTAAAATTTTACAAATTTTGCTTAAACAAAAAATATAAAATATTTTAACTTTCAGCTTTGTCCTGGTCGTGATGTTTTGCCTAGCGGGCAAGGGAAAAGCCGGAATGATCGAAGTGGATCGCAATAGGCTTCAGCAACTCCAACGGCAAAGTCATCAAACGACTGATGCCAATGCCCAAGTGCGAATCGCCTACGAAGTCATTGGTATTTACAATAAATACAAGGGCCACGGAGGACCCAACGCCGCTAGGGAAAATCAACTAAACACACAGGTGCGCGACTTCAAGAAGAAGACTGTGATCGTCGATGGTGTGCCAGCCCAAGGAGGAGTTTGGGACATCCTGGGAATAATGAAGTCAGCTACAGGTGCTGTCCCAGAACATGTTAGGACAGATGCGGCGAACTTGATCAAGAGTTCCTCAAAAGCCGTAGTTGACGGCCTAGTAAGCTATCTTATAAACACACTTTTTGGAATGTTGGCCGGTGGATAGTAAAATGAGTTGTGAATTTGACGGACTGAGTTTTGATTGAATAACTATATGACATGAATAAAATTGGAAAAAAATGTCATTTTTTTAACAAGTTTTTAAGTGTTTTAAAGTACTTTGTTGTATAAAAACAAGTTCGGTCCAACTTTCCCCATTTTTCGTATGTGTATATCTGGCTAGCCTCAACTTGTCTGTATGTTAGTTTGTCGCATTTACGCTGTTTTCTGGCTTAAAGCTTTCCAGAAACCGGCGAAAATTTGGCCCGAAATTTATGAGCTCAGTGTTGGCCAAGTGTCCTTGCGGGACTTCACACACACACACAGCACAGACTTCTTTGCACTTTATTTTCATTCAGAGCCTATCGCACGAGCTTATTTGATTTTGTTCGCCTCTTGTCTTGCCCCCTGTGAAGTTTTCCCGCGTCCCACTCATAAATATCGAAAAAGGCACGGGAACTTGTTTGCTTTTTGGCCGAACTCGGGGCCTCATCTGTCCAGTCCCCGGGTTGTAGGCCCAAATATTAGTGCAATTTCCCCACGTTGACCAAAAGTTCAATTCATTTTGCACTGGGACGTGTCGCTGCTCCTCAACTGTTTTCATAAGAATTTATTGCTTTCTCTTGGCAACTAAGTGGATCAGATTTCTCTCGGCAGCTTTGGCCTGTGTCCTATGTAATATGCCACAGATTTAGTGTTGGCGAAATTACTTCTGTCTTTTGTTCGCCTCCATTCCAGGACCCTCTAGCTTCCCACTTTCCCTGTTCCTTTTTTTTACAATTTTGTCGTATCGGATTGAAAATTGAGTTGGGTATTTTAGGGGCTAAAAGTCGGGAGGAAGGAAACGCCGGCCGACCGCAGACTGACAGTTGGGACAGTTCTTAGGTGAGATTTTCTACACCCCAAATGGTTTCTCTTTCAATGACCGAAAAATGGGAGTCCTTAAACTGAAGAGATTTTTCTTTGAATTTTCGCTAGTCATTTACTCAATTTGTGGGGCTTGGTTTGGAACTCCGTTCTAATTTATTCTTATTGAATTAAATGTTTCTGATTGTCAATATTTAAAAGACAATTTTGTTGTTTCTTGTTGTTGTATGAATTGTTTTATTTATTTAAAAAAATTGGTTTTCAATTTACCAAGAAGTTTTATTTATAATAGCTTTAAATTCTCCCTTCTTTAATTTAGCACATTATTTATAAGTCCTTGTAATATCTGCTTTAAATAACCTCCGAGTTAAGTGACTGTCCGAAGTTTCCCACTCGAAATGCTCTTGCTGAGTTTTCAACTGCGATTTGCGGCCTGCATTGTCTGTATCCTTGTGACGTAAGGGAAATTTATTTCATTTATGCATAGCTTGTTTGAGGTTGAGTGGGTGCTATTTGGTGGGTTTTTCGGTTTTCACAGTGCGTGCAATAACGAGAATGAAAATGAAAATGTATACCAAAGTTTTGTGTGTATCTGCGAGAATGTGTGCGAGTGTTGTGTCCTAAAAGTATGTATTGATTTTCAGCCTGTCGGCAATGCGAAAATATTTATTGTCAGCTCGAGGGAGCTGAGTCTGAGTCCTCGGATGCCAAGCCAAGTTTCGCTCAAATTGTTCCCAGGCGGCAATTGATGCCGTTGATGGAATGGAGATGGAGATGGAAGATGCCCCTCCCAAGTCGCACACTTCGTCTGCGAGTCTGTCAGCATCGGGAAATCGAGAATTATTAACAGCCAAGAGCCAACTATTGCGTTGATGGGCTCATAATTACGGCCATGTCCTTGCTCACTCACTCGCACATTCGCCTCTCGCATTTCTGGGCGCTGACATGCATTAATATTGATTGTTGCTGTCGCTGAACCGCACTAATCAGAGCCACATGTCGTTCCCCGTGTTCTCCGTAGTCTGTTCTCTGTTGCCTGTACATTGACATTGACACGGGCTCCTCGTCGGATGGCATTCCACAATTATTCGCATCCTTGTCCGCAGCTTCATCATCGTCATCACCATCCACCATTGTCATTGTCGGCGCAATGAAATTACATGTTACATATCGCATTTACATTGCTGTCATGTAGTTCCTCTTTTGATTCAGTTGTTGAGTTTTTCATGCGGTCCTGGGCGGGCTGGAAGTATAACCACATTTCCCTTTCCCCACCTTGCTAAATGAGAAAAACCTTGTTTTCCCGCTGTCCATCGAGTTTAAATTTCCATCATGTTGGGAAAATCAAATTGCAAGTGGCAGGACCAGGGATTGATTACAATTTAATAGCTTTAGTTTTGACATATTTATTATAGAAATTATAAATTGCGCAATTACCATTAGAAAATATTCTTCGGTAAAGTATTTATTCAACTAAAAAACTATAATTACCAAATGATTATCCTGAAAGGATAACCCTTTTATCTAGAAAAACTTTAAGTATTTTGCCATACTTTTCCCTGCTTTTAATTAAAAGTTCATGGTTTATTAAATCTTGACGAAACTAATTGATAACTTTTGCGAACCAGTTGACTTTGCCAGTCAATTTGTGTACATAGGATGGACCCCAGAAGGACAAAGGCTGCGAGTCAGATATGCCATTTGAATACTTTCTGTTTTGACATTCATTTGCGAGAGTCGACAGAAAGCGTTTCCAATTTGCAGAGGCATCTCGAAAGGCAACCGGGGAGCCAGCGAACTTGGAGAAGTTTTAATGAGTTGGCAAATGGAATTGGCAATCCGTAGTGGATGCTCGACACTTGAAGCATGAAATCAAACTAATTAACTCAAAATTTAACATAAACGCCGCTCAAAGTTTCCCCATTGGGCGCTCAAGTTGGCTTTTTCATGTGATTTTCCGCTCTCTGCACATGATGGCAGTGCAATTGTACACAAGTTGGCCATGGCCAGAGGGAAAACCAGGGGAAAACCATCTATGTACCTCCTTTATGAGGGTAATCCGGCATCAGCACCTCCGCGTTGGATGATAATTCAGTTTTGCCGGCATGATGAACAAATTAAAAACTTTTCTTTTTCATCCATGATCCCAGCAAATGGTCTACAAATTATTCCCCCAACGTCAAAGTTTTCACTTTCTTCCTGCCAGCGATTTTTAATGTTTTCCACCAATTTTGTTTTCCATTTTTCCAGCACTTGTCTGTCCCACGGCTGCTTAGGCATTATTATAAGCAGGGAAAAATGAAAACAGATTTCGAAGAGCTCGTCAAACAGATGAATTGGAAAAGCTGACTTGTGTAAATGTATGCAGAGCTTGGGACGAGGATTTACATATGCTTACCCCGAATCGGCTTTGGCTATAACTACAACCAAATGACTTAATCCGAAAGCACTTACTTTCGTTTACGAATAATATACAAATGTACCCACTTGAGCACTGGAGTGTTTTTGAAATGCCCAAATTTCTCATCAACTATTTGCCTTTGATGTTCCGGGGGTCTTCAACCTGATATGCCAGGAGGAGTGCCTAATGTTTATTACATTATATATGGCACACTTCAAGGAGATGCTCATCATACTCTCCATGTCCTTTGGCGCTGCGTCGTAAAACCATTGCATAAGTTTTGCGCTTGACAGCCAACTTTGAAGCATCGGTTTTTATTTTACTCTACCGCCAGCGGAATTCAGATACATAAATATGTATGAGCTGGGTGCGAATGGTAAGAGAAATGGGAATGGGGTCCTTCGTGTCTATCTGTGTAGTTTGACAGTTCGTAAAATCAAAGTTGTGTCTCACAGAATGTAATAGATTTTTATTGCCGGCGGCAGTGGTTTGCTTCATCTAGTCACCACTTCCATTTTGTCTGGCAACCAATTCGACTTTCTGGCTGTTTACCACACACAAGCGGACCCAGAGCTACAGATCCACCTACATAGATAGACACCCAGCCTCAGTCGGAGGAGGAACTTTCCCATTTTGTTGGGAAATGCTTTTAATCTAACTATAAAGTTGCTGCAAAAGTTGTCCCCAAGTTTTAAGGTTTCGCTTTGCTTTTTGGCCGTCGACTGAAACTCTACAAATTCAACAAATTTAACTTGCCCTTGACACGTTGCCAAAATGCAAAGGATATGAACGAAATCCAATTTTACTTTCCGCTGTGTTTACGAGAGTGAAAGGGAATGTTGAGCTGTGAGTAGGGAATAAATCACGAGGCTTTAAACAAAAGTTTTACTATGGCCGTGTAGACCTCTAATGGATTTAATTTCCGTTAAGGCCAGCGAATAAATTAAGCTGCCAGATGAAAACGGGATAAAATATTCGCATTTGCTTTAAAGGCAATAAAAATTAATTAGCGCAGCACGTCGGAGATTGCGGCCTCAATTATGATGCCAGGTCCTTTCCCACAGAGTTTGGCCAAAAAAGCGAAAAATCAATATGACAGGCCGACAGGAGGGTCGGTCGACAGCGGGGGATGGGGGTGGCTGGACTCGTCCTTGGACGGCGGACGCGCTAATTTCAAGAGCCCTGGGCCATAAAACCGTGTTGAGGGAGCACAAAGCCCTAAAAACCAGCCAAAGCGAACCGAAAGACGTTCAAGCCGGGCCATAAGTAGCTGAGGATTAGGCAAGCAGCTCGAGCTTGCAGCTTGGAGCCCGTCTCGCTTTTCATTTTCCCATTTCCCAATTTTTCCCCTCGCTTCGGATCGACGACTCGAGTCGGCAGTATATCTTTTAATTAGACGATTTCACTGGATATTTAACAGCCTCGTGCTCGATGCTGAAGGTATTTTGTCTCGCTGCTGGGCCATAATGGAGTCCCAAATGGCATCGCTGATTAATGTCTCGATTTTATGGCGAATAATGTTGAATGGGACAATGGGGGAGGTGGAGTGCAGAATGCAGGAGCTATTCTCATGAAAAATTGGAAGCAAATACCTTTTGTGCGATGTCTTTAAGTTTTTTATTGAACGATAAAGTCAAATAACTTGTTGGAAAAGTTTGAGCAGTGAACTTGACTTTCCTGCGTCCAAGGGCTGATTTTAAACAGTGGAAAAAAATTAAAAATATTTTTCTGAAGTCTTT